CCCAAAGGCATGTCAATTTATTACCGTATGCAGATGATGCAAAATGAAGCAGTTGGAACAAAGGTGGGCAGCTGATTGAACAGGTTATTTAGATATCTAGACATAGTTTTTCAAGCTTCAGGAAGCAGAAATGCCCATCTGTACTATGTATCTCATCATACACAGAGATCTGCATGAGCTATTCAAACTTACTATTTTTCCAGAGGAGCACAGTTTATCCCTGCTGCAGTTAAGTTGTTTGCAGCTAAAGCCCAAGCATAATTGCTATACGGGGCTCAAGTGGGACCACAGAACAGCTTGGTTACCTTAGAAAGAATTCAAACAAAATTTCTAAGAAACATCTTCCAGGTTACCCGCTGTGTTCCAAATGCTGTACTTTGACAGGAAGCAGGAGTCAGTAAACTCAAATCTAATCTCTGGATAAATATATTTACCTATTGGCTGAAATTACATCACAACCCCAGTGGACTGACCCATCTAATATTGGCAGATAGCTTCAAATCCTCTTGGGAAATAGCAATCCAAAATAAACTGAGTCTCTATGGTTTCTCCAGTGATGCCATCTTAACCTTAGAGTCAGTTCAAGCTAAATCAATGTTAAGACAAAAGATCTTAGATATAGAAAGCCAAAGAGAAACTGCTGCATTTTCTCATAATATAATTGCTAATAACCAAATCTTAGCGACTAACCCAGCTTTGTATTTATATCATATTACAGTCCCCAAATTCAGAAGAGCCTTATCTCTCACCCCATTTCAGGTCCTCCACACAGCTGTGTTGGAAGGGAAATATAGGAAAACCCATAAGAAACCTGATATTGGCCCTGGGTGCCATAGAAACTATAGCCCATGTTCTTTTGTATTATCAGTCCTACAGGGACATTTGCCACTAGTTCATTACCACCTTTTATTTAAATTTCCAGGGCACTCTGATCATTTTTATTTGCATTATCTATTAAACAACCAAGATAAACGTATTTCTTTAAAAGTAGCAAAATTCTGCTATGTTCTGTGTAAGCTACGTCCACAAATGGTCGCCAACAGCTATTGATATTAGGGGATAAATTTGCTTTGTTTGTTTTATAGACTGCATTTTTATTGGACAATGACCAAAATAAAGTTTCTGTCTGTCTGTCTGTCTGTCTGGTCTGCCTCTGCTTCCCCAAAAATATCCTTGAACTCCTCATGTTTAGCTGGCAGTTCCACAGATCTTCTGCCATCCTAAGAGATTCGGGGAACAACATCAGACCCATGATGTGAGCTTGACATTGAGGGGTGGAGAAACACAGTTGGCCCACAAACCAAGTGATCTGTGGAACATGGGCTTTTAACCACAGAAGACCCAGGACTTTGGGGAAGTGAATTGATGAAGCTATGTAGAGTTGAGCTGTTTTCAGTGTTCCCCAATTATCACACACAGTGCCACTCTCCTGTGAGTCACCAGGCTGGAGGCTGGAGGTTAACAGTCAATGGTTTCCACTTACAAAAGAAATGGAGGCGGGTCTAGAGGAATGTAACATTGAACAGCAAGTTTGGTGTTCATAATGGACTACTGCAAGATGCTCTAGGGTTTGCCTATCCAACTTTACCAAATGCATTTGCACTCTTGCTGAGCATCAGGAAAAATTATTTACTTTGTTACATCCTTGTGAATTTTACCTTCTTGTTTTTATTCCATATTGTAAATCCAATTCTTGGCTATGTGTATTTATCTTTAGAATAACTGTTTTATGACCATACTAAAATTTAGAACAAGAATCAGCAGGGTGAGATTCTGTAGACACAATATGTGCTGGGTCCATATGTATCTGTGATCAGTAATATTCACTTTTTTTTTTATGCCATTGCTCTAGGTATTTCTTCAATTGCTTCATCTCCTGGAACTTGTCAGTAAATCACAGGACACTGAGGCATCTAGGACCGATGAAAGGCCACTCTAGAGCAATTGTGCCCAATCCCCTGGCTGCCTCCCAATTCCAGATTAAGAGATATCCCATGATGTCAGCCCTATAAGATAAGCCAGAGTCGAGCACCAGAATCATGAATACTAAACAATTTTTATTTTAGGGTTAGAGTAACAGTCTCTTGCAACTCTGAATATGTCTCCCCCTTCTCTTCCTTGATCCTGAAGAGAACTAGGGAGGGTCCAGTCTGAGATACTTACTCAAATTATATTCCTGCTATGGGCTCTTACCTGCCTTGGCTGTGGCTCTTCCTTTTCTTCCTCAAGGTTATTCTCACAGCTCATAAAAAGTGGGCCTCTTTTATAACAAACAGGACTGGAAGTAATTATTTGAAAGGAACAGGACTATCTCATCTCTGACTGCTGAGATTTATTACTAAGATTTATTAAAATTGAAAAAGTAACAGCATATGAATCTAATGAGTATTTTGGAAATAAGTTTCAGATGAGGATATATATTATCTATTTATATTACTCTGGAAACTGTAAGTTTGCTTGCTTTCTCATGTGTTTGTGATGAACTAGAGAAATACCATTCTTCTTTGGAAGAGAGCTAGAAGAAAGATGGTACCCAGCCTCCTTCCCTCCAACCCATTCCCTCAGTCTTTCCACCACCACCAATTCCATCTTAACCAACTATCCACACAACCACTCTAATTCATTCCATCTACCAAAAGCAGGTTGCTGTTTCTTAAGTACTTCAACTGACCCAGCTACAGTACCAATTCAACCCATGCAACATGCCATAGGAACCTCTTTCTTAACCTTCCATCCCCCCATAACCCATCATGGACATACCCCTCCTCAGACCTTCTCCCACATAGCCACAAAAACAGGTGGGGCCCACCATCTCTCTCTCTTCTTTATCCAGAGGAGGCTCTCCAACAGTGTACCCTGCCTTTCATCCAGGAATTCCAATGATAATAGTGCATCCTTCCTTGCATTTTTCAAACTCTGCTTCCTTCTCTCTCAACGTCTCAGAGATCATCCACTTCTATCCCAGGCTGCAGGAACCCCCAGCGAAGCCTCCTCTATTTTCAACCACCAGAATTGGTGGTACCAGCCATGTTTCCTCCCAGTTTTCATAACATGAGAAATGAGGAGAGACTGCTATGGCCATAATATTCAGGGTAATATGCAAGCAATGCCATGTATTGGTTTTTGTATTAATAATATCTGTGATAAAATATAAGCAGTTTCTTACCTCAGTGTTATTAATTTTCTCAGCTCTGTCAGTGCTTTAAAGAAGTCTTCCATATATCTTTCCCGTAAACTCCATTCCCTAAGAGGGAAAGACATTTTTGCTCTCAGACTGTGATTCAGTGTTTCCAATTCCTCTACTTTTCAAATACACTTGGCATTCCAGTCCATTTGTCAAGTAACCACAAACAAATATACTCATGTTGTAGTACGGAAAAATAGTGATAGAAAAAGGCCATTTGATAGCATTGCTTAAAGGAATTAAGATTTGGCATGGCATTCTAGATACAAAGAAAAGGAATAAGCAGAGAAAATATATCAGGAAACTCTAAGTGCCACAACTTAGAACTGAGAAGGAATGTCCAAATGTGACACACTCATGCACATGTGCATACCACACTCATACGTGGTCATATCTATTCATATTCAAAGGATAATCATTGCCTACAATTACAAACAAATGGGACTGTCTCGATCGCTGGCTGAGCTTCATTTTATTTTAGGCAAACATCACTCTGGTAGGAATGCCTTCTTGCCTCTGCTGATGTGATGGATGGCATGAACTAGGAGGATTCTGGAATGGAGCTTTAAGGTTGTAGGGAGGGAGGTGAGACATTCCAGGGAAAGCATTTCCTTAGCCCCCAACCAGAGCATGGGAAAGTAAAAAGGAGGAGACTGGCCCCTCCCTAAGGGCATCAGGGTTATAGTTGCTGTTGTTGGGAGTTAGTCTATAGAGATACTGTCTATTAGGTGTAAGCTAATAAAGAAGCTAAGCTGATTCTGGATTGTCTCGCTGTGATTCTTCTGCTGGACCTGACAGGTCACTGGTTACTGCCTCCATGGACATTTTTTAGTTTTTTTTTTAATTGTACAAAATCACTGGAAAGGCTGGACATTTATAAAAAACAGGTTCACAGATGGAATAGCAAATAGTGGATCCTTTTTTAGCAATGTAAAGTTGACAAGAGTGTCTACAAAAGGTCTAAGTGGGTCTACAAAAGGTCTAAGTAGGTGTTGTCCAAGACACCTCCCCACAAGTGATGGATTCATGCTTGCTTCCCTAATACTGTTATGATTCTATCAGTCTTCTGAGTCAGGGGTTGAAGGGGGGACCAGACTGATTGTCGGCCTGAAAAGCAAGCAGGCAATCAGGCACCCGTGACAGCTTCAGGGGACAAAGAGTCAGAGCAGATGAAGCCCAGTTCAGATAATGGGGGACACATTCTGGCAGGGAGCCTAGTCAAGGACACCCTGGGAGCTACGAAGGGCTGAGTAAAGGCAATCAGTACATCTCCTTGAAAGAAGGCAGCAGTGCACCTAATCAAGTCATGGCATCCCATGGCTCTATATGAGAGCAGCTCCAGATCCTCTAGTCTCCAGATCCCAGATCCCAGTCCAGACATTCAGACTGGATCATGGATTCTCTGGTGCTTGAATGCTGGACTGTTACAGACAACTCTGATGATACAAGTTCCAAGACAAGTTCTGAAGATTAACTGCTCTGTTAGTCACTTTATTCCTGGGCTATTATCAAAAAGACAAAAATAAGGAAGGAACTTAAGAGTTTCAGAGAGCTGTTAGAAGAGACAAGAAGCTGTACAGGTAGTCCTTGGGTTATGATGGCAATTGGGACTGGGATTGCCATCCATAAGTGATGCAGTTGCAAAGCGTGATGTCATGTGACTGCAATGCTTAGTGATGGCAAACCCGGAAGTCCCAGGAGGGGTGAGGGGATGCCACAGCCAGGTGGGGTTATGTGGGCAGGTGCTACAGAGCACGGGCGTGCCAGAGGGAGGGCCGACAGGGGCTGGAGGAGGGCCAGTGGAGGCCATGGGCAGGTTGGCAGAGGCTGCAGGAAGGTAGATAGGAGCTGCAGGTGGGTCGGGAGGGGCCACAGGTGGGCATAGATTTGCTGTGTGTGGGCAGGCAAGGAGTACTATTGAGTATGAGAGCCCTGGGATCTTGTACTCCGTAGCGGGCTCCTTGGGAGAAAATGCAGCAGGAGCGAGTTACTGGAATGACTTGCAACCTTCTCTGCTGGCTTTCCCATTGACTTTGCTTATGGGAAGCCAGCAAGGAAGGGCACAAATGGCAGTCACGTGACACAGCTTACTGTGACATAATTGTGATCCAGGCATCCTAGAGCCTAGATCGCAATCACATGACTGCAGGGATGCTGTGACGGCCTTTAACGATCTGCCACTCACAACTCACAACTTCAGTAATTCTCCTTGCAACCAGTAATGGTTCAAAAGAAAGTTCATTTACTGAGAACAAGTGTACAGTTCCAAAGCATAGCTAAGACTGAGTCTGCACATGCCAAAAATTGCTTTTACCCTTTTTCTTTCTTCCCCCATGCACCCCCTTAATCTTCTACAGTTCTCACACTCTTATTGGGATGACCTTGAACACCGCTACATCTGAAGCATCCGCCTAAATGACAAATGGTTTATCCAGGTTGGGATGTTTTAAAATAGGATCCGCCGTGAACAGGCATTTCAACTTTTCAAATGCTTCTTGGCATTCCTGTGACCATGTGAGCGGAGCCCCGGGCTTCGAGGCTTTTGCTTCATCCTTCCCCTTAGTTTTTAATAAATCAGTGAGGGGGAGCACCACCTGTGCAAAGTTCAGAATGAACTGGCGGTAGAAGTTAGCGAAGCCCAGGAAACTTTGAAGCTGCCACTGCGTTCTGGGAACCTCCCAGCCAATCACATCCCACATCTTGCTTGGGTCCATTTCAATTTCCTTACTAGATATCCAGTAGCCCAAATAGTCAATTTGTTCCTTATGGAATTCACTTTTAGACAGTTTAGCAAACAGCTGAGAGTCCAACAGTTTCCTCAATACTTTCTTCACCAATTTCACATGCTCCTCCATATTTTCAGAATAAATCAGTATGTCATCGAGATACACCAAGACCCCCCGGTACAAGTCCTCTTGCAGAACCTCATTAATGAGTTGCATAAATACTCCCGGGGCCCCCTTTAATCCGAACAGCATGAGTTTGTATCGGAAACAACTGAGAGGGCAATTGAACGCTGTTTTCCATTCGTCACCCTCTCGTATTCACACCTGGAAATATGAGTCCCATAAGTCCAACTTAGTGAAAATTTTTCCCTTTGACAAGTGAGCTGACAGGTCTTTCATCAGTGGCAAAGGGTATCGATTATTTTGGCAAATAGCATTCAAGCCTCTATATCCATGCAGAGCCTTAATGAACCATCTTTCTTTTCTCTGAATAGCACCGGTGCTGCTATCTGGGATTAAGTAGGCTCAATAAATCTGCTCTGCAAGTTTTTATCAATAAAATCCCGCAAAGCCCCCAGTTCCTTAGGAGTCATAGAATACATCTTTTTAATCGTGAATTTACCTCCGGGTTCAATCTCTATGGCACAGTCACTTGGCCGGTGGGGGGGGGGGGGTAGTTGGTCCAACTCCTTTTCACTAAATACCTCTTCCAAGTCTTGGTACTGATCCAGAATCAAAGCCGGCTCCCCAGGTACACTCTGATTCACTGTCTCCATACTCGCCACAGCCACCTCTACCCGTGACGATTTTCCGGCAATCCCTCTCACCCTTGTACCTGCCCATGTGGGAACTCTAAGCTGCTTTCGTCCCAGTCCACTGTGGGGTTCCTCCTTTTCAACCAATTCATCCCCAAGATTAATGGATGGGTTGCCATGGGAGTCACCAGGAATTTTATAGTCTCTCAGTGCGTTCCCATCCACAGCTCGAGTTTCTCTGTACAAAACTCCACAGGACTCCCCCCCACACACACACACACTGGAGACCCATCCAACTGAGAAAACATCACTGGGGTTTTGAGTTTCTTTACCCTCAGTCCCAACCCATGAACAATTATGGAATTTATTAAGCAATGGGAACACCCCGAGTCTATGAGAGCCCTCAGGTCCGACCTATGATTTGTCCTCAGCACCCTCAGCTTCACCCACATGTTGCTGGGATTCACCCCTGTCTCCTCGCTCTCCGACTCATCCCCTGATCGATCTTAACCCCCTGGGAAGGACACCTGCTTTCGGATGTGTTTTAAAGCAGGCAATTTTAATTTCCTGCCAACTGTTCCTCTCCTTCCGAGGACTCAAACTCAGGGCTCAGCAGCCCCTCCTTAGCACTGGTAGCCATAGTCTCCTTTTTCCCTGGCTTCATAGGTTTTGTCGACTTCTGCGCTGTCTTCTTCCGTCCAATGTCCGATTTCCCTTGGAGGCAATTAGCAGCGAAATGGCCCGACTCTCCACACCTGAAACATACCTGACGACCTCTTTTCCCATCTTGGTCATTCTCCTTGGGCTTGATCCTGGCTTTCTTGACTGCTGCCTCCATTGCTCTCAAATGGGTTCTCGCCGCCGTCAGCCATTGCTCCTCCACCTCTGCTGCCATAGCACTCCATCCATCAAGGGTCCCTGGGTATCCCCAATTCATCACATCAAGCAGAACATTGGGTTGCAACCTCCGCTAGAAGAACTCGATGAGGAGCCCCTCTGGTATGTCCAGAAGCTTCTGCGCCAACCCCTTGAACTCAAATGCAAACTCAGACACCATCCGAGTCCCTTGCCGGAGCCACTCCAGAGTCCTTGCTTTCAGGGCTACAGACAGGTCCTCGAAGCATTTGTGCAGGGCTGCCAGGAAGTCGTCCAGCTTCCCCAATGCCGGAGCTTTTGTGTAGTGCATCCCCACTCCACTTCAAAATACCACTCCACTTCAAAATAACTCTATACATAGGAAACCTTCTCGACTTCACTGCGGAACAACGCCCCATAGCCTTCCATGTAGATCCACAGCTGCCAATTGTTCGGCATCTCCTGTGAATTTCATGGAGATACCTCGCTGCTCTATCGGGCTCTTCTTCGACCACCTGGGTACGTAGTCCTCATCTTCTTCACTGGACGTCTCACCTTCGGCTGATCTCTCTCCTGCCTCCAATAATCCAGGAGTTGCTGCTGTCTCCCTTGCAGGGGGGTGAGAGGCTGGCCCCTAGCATCCAATTCAGCGCAGCTCTCATAGCCCGCACATCATCTGCCAGTGAAGCTATTTGAGTCTCCATTTTTCCCATGCATTCTTTCAGTGCAGGTCCCCGTTCTTTCCTGGCCGCCCCTCTCGCTGCCAGCCTGGTTGCCTTTGAGGACTCCACCGGGACCTCCCGCTGAACGAATTTAACCTCTAGCGGGACTCCTGAGGAACTGGGGACTTCCTCCATTTCCTCGATCACATCATATGCCATCTTGTTGCTCGGTGGCACCCCAGTCAAAGCGATCCTTTGGACTTTCCTCAAGGCAATTTCTTCCTCAGCAAAAGTCCTCATGGGAGTCTTAGCAAAATGTAACGATCTGCCACTCATAACTCACAACTTCAGTAACTCTCCTTGCAACCAGTAATGGTTCAAAAGAAAGTTCATTTATTAAGAACATGTGTACAGTTCTAAAGCATTTCTAAGACTGAGGATGCACGGGCCAAAAGTTGCGTTAACCCTTTTTCTTTCTTCCCCCATGCACCCCCTTAATCTTCAACAGTTCTCACACTCTCTCGTTGGTATGACCTTGAACATTCCTCTTTCTCTGATAACAACCCATCTGCCTCTAATGGTCAATTCTCTTGGTCACCCTTCCAGATTCGTCCAGAACCCCCCCCCCCCAATATCTTCTAATGGCAGAACCGAGGCAAGCAAGCAAGCTGACAAGTAAAGTGGTAAATTGATTGTGAGGATTCTGACATGGCTATAGCTTCAATGATCAGTCGTTAGTCCATTTTTTCAATGCTGCTGTAACTTTGAATGGCCACTAAAGGAATGGACGTAAGCCAAGGACTACCTGTCTTACAACAACCTCTGTAAAGACACTAAAGATGGAAACAGACATGGAAAAACAGGGAAAGTTTTTCAAAAGATCTCCGAACTCAGAAGGAGCTTCCAACCTCAAATTAGTATGCAATTGTTAAAGGCAGTGTTGGGCTATATATAAAATGATCACATTTTTAAATGTCATTATTTATTTATTTATTTATATTTGTTACAGCTTCTAGATCACAACAGCAATTGCCTCTCTGTTCTTGAGCTGAGCTGAGCTGAGCTGAGCTGAGCTGAGCTGAGCTGAGCTGAGCTGAGCTGAGCTGAGCT